GCCAATAGGGATAGCAATGATGTGAGTGTCCTTCTTGGATATGGAAACGGTTCTTTTGAAAATGAAACAAGGTATTCAGTTGGCTCTTCTCCATCATCTATAGCTATTGGTGATGTCAACAATGACACTCGACTAGATATCGTTGTCGCCAATCAGTTGAGCAATGATGTGAGTGTCCTTCTTGGATATGGAAATGGTTCTTTTGAAAATCAAACAAGGTATTCAGTTGGCTCTTATCTATTATATGTTGCTATTGGTGATGTCAACAATGACACTCGACTAGATATCGTTGTCGCCAATGGGGCTAGCAATGATGTAAGTGTCCTTCTTGGGTATGGAAACGGTTCTTTTGAAAATCAAACAAGGTATTCAGTTGGCTCTTATCCATCATCTGTAGCTATTGGTGATGTCAACAATGACACTCGACTAGATATCGTTGTCGCCAATAGGGATAGCAATGATGTGAGTGTCCTTCTTGGATATGGAAATGGTTCTTTTGAAAATCAAACAAGGTATTCAGTTGGCTCTTATCTATTATCTGTTGCTATTGGTGATGTCAACAATGACACTCGACCAGATATCGTTGTCGCCAATGAGGATAGCAATGATGTAAGTGTCCTTCTTGGATATGGAAACGGTTCTTTTGAAACTCAAAAAAAGTATTCAGTTGGCCTTAATCCACAATCTGTAGCTATTGGTGATGTCAACAACGACACTCGACTAGATATCGTTGTCGCCAATTCGGCTAGCAATGATGTAAGTGTACTTCTTGGATATGACAATATAGTTTTTGTAAAGCAAATGATACTAGTAACTGGAAACGGTTCCCAACCACAGTGGTTAGTGATTAGCGATTTTAACAATGATGATCTGATGGATATTGGTGTCATTAATTCACGCACCCACAATATTGATATTTTTCTTGGATATGGAAATATCTCTTTTGCAAATCAAATGACATATTCAACACACCCATATTTATCTCCATGCTCTATGGCTGTCGGTGATTTCAACAATGATAGTCGAATGGATATCGTCTTTGTTAGTTGTAAGTTGAACAGAGTTGGTATTATTCTTGGATATGGAAATGGTTCTTTTGGAAATCAAATGATGTATTCAACAAGCTCAGGTTCGTCTCGATACTCTTTAGCTGTAAATGACATTAATAACGACGCTATACAAGACATTGTCGTCGCGAATTATGATGTCAATTATCTAGGTTTACTTGTTGGACATGGAGATGGCACTTTCGAAAGCATTATGCTAGTTCAGTTGGACTATGGTTCCAATCCATTCTTCATTGCCATTGGAGATTTCAATAATGATAAAAAACTAGATTTTGCCGTCGCCAATAACGGTACTGACAGTTTAAATATTCTCTTGCAGACTTGTTAATAATTTTATCTTGTATTTTATATTTTCCTATCACTTACTTATTTCGTATGCTCTTATATTTAATAGAATCATAGTTGAAATATTCAAATGTTTGTAAGTGTGAAAGATGAGTGGAGAAAGAGGATGAGTTAGGTTTGGGTTTGGTTGTGGATTCCTGATGATGTAAGCCTCAGTGTATGGTTGAGAGTATGAATGACTGACTGCCAGTATTGATCTGACTGTAGTAGAAAAGCGTCTAGATCAAGGGGGGAAAAGCTGACTCCGTGACTCCATGACTCTACTGACTCCAACTGACTCCAATTGACTCCATTGACTCTATTGACTCCATTGACTCCAACTGACTC